AGATCTTCCAAGAAGTAAGATCATCCTTTGCATAATTACACAAAAATATCACAGATAGTTCTATTAAGTTACCTAAGCCTGCATTTCTCGGAGATCCTCTAAAAGGAGCACATAACCGGAATTTGTGTTAAAATTAAATAAAACCATGAGGAATTAAATACCATTATGTGGACAGAGAGCGTGAGTGTGTGTGAGTGTGTGTTTCAGTCAAGGAAACGAAGCTGATGATGAGCAGATTGAATTGAAAACAGCAAAAAGACATCTCCGCTATGATAAGTCTTTCCCAAACTTATGTCACAACGACCAACAGTGAAACAGTGTGCAGTGTGATTGGGCAGGAGATGAAAGGAGTTATCAGGACCACAGAGCAGGCAGCAGCATGTAACAGGAACTGCTAAGAAAGCTTCGAATTTATCTCAGCTTATATAGTGAAAAGAATCATTTTCCTTCCAAATACACAAAAAAATACAATTTTCCTTCAGAAAAACACAAAAGTAGTAGTCTGTGAGAATAGCAGAGTGAAGAATTCCAGAAATTCCCTGAACCAGAGAAGTAAGAAGGACACTGACAAAATTTGTCAAAATCATTTTTTCATAAGCCAGAAATCAGAGGCTTGCAAAAATCTACTGCATGTTCTTCGAAGAAAAACCGCTCCGTTGATAGGAACAGTGGGCTGTGTGGGGTTTTCCTGTGCACTGTGCCCATCACCGTCCCTCCAGCTCTGTGGCAGACTAGAAGACCAACAGCCCTGCCGTCATGGTTCCATCTGGTATCACTGCAGTGTGTGGAAGGGGTGGCCAGGGTTGGAGGAACCAGAAACCTATGACACAGAGAAAGGAAACCGCAGTTACATTATAAATGTTGATGTTAGGATGAGAACCGAGCACATCGCGGATCCTGTAATCATAGGCCCGAATACAAATTTGGAGTCATGACTGAATTTTACATCCAACATCTGAAAATACAGTGAATATTTATAACTAGCAATACAAAAATACGTGTAAACTGACAACTGTCACCAAAGACAGCTAGGAGAAGGGAAGAAATAAACAGAAGCATTAAGTACATGAAATTACATTTTCAAAAAAGTGTGTAGTATGTACTAGTATTATATACCAAGCACTTTCTTGATGACAGAGGAGGGACAGCATAAGAAGAAAGCTTCTAGTTGACGCCTTCTAGGGAGCTTCAGGGCACTGGCATTACTCTAGGTGACAGGAAGTCAGAGACCTGCTGATTCACACTGATGTGCAGCAGAGGTGAACATTTACTCTGGACCACCGCATCTGGGGAAGAAGCCTGGCTTGAGATACTAATTTATACACACACCAGTACATGAAGCCTGTTGCAACTACTGGGATTCATGAGGGCCTATGGAAAGTGAACAGAAAAGAGATACAAACATAAACCCCGAAGAATGCCAGTTTATACAGATACAAGGACGGAAATGAGGAATCAGCAGGAAAGTGGAGCAAGCACAAAGGCAGGAAGACCACTGGGGGAGCATCATGATCGCCATGCGAAAAAAGGGTTTCCAAGGGTGCCGGTGACTCTGGTACGTGCCCTTGGCAGGTCAACTCAGGTGATGACTGAGAACTGACCATTGGATACAGCAAAGAGATAATCGGTGTCTTTGAGATAAAGAATTTCGCATTCTGACCAGAAGTGTTCAAGAGAAAATAGGAGCAGAGACATTTGAGACAGAAATTGCTGGAGAGAATTTCTTAAGTCGGCCAAGTGGGATGGGACTCATGTAAGCTGTAGTCTGACCGTCACTGAGAAAGAACAGGTAACCCCGTAGAAACAGCAGAGAAGTTGGGATAAATGCATGAATTCAGTGACTCCGTCAGTGTATTAATTGGGACTGGAGAGATTGTCATCTGACTGCTTCCATGGTCTCAGTTACTCTGACTCAGTAGCCAAGACTATGGGTGGAAGGACTTAAGAGAGGTTTAAAGAAAGAGAAAGCAGGAAATAAATCAGCTGAGAGAAAAGGCTAAGCAAATATCCTATGATTTCTGGAAGCAACGAGGGCCAAGTCGACATGAATACTGATGAATTTAAGGGACCTGAGTCATCACGTTTGTGTGTTGTCCTCTAGATCTGCAGATGCAGGCAAAGCCATGCATCATCTAAATTCAATGTGTCAATTAATTTAGAGGAAAAACATTTTTGAGTGGGGCCAAGTATGGAAGGACGAGATAAAGCAGGAAAGCACTGAGGAAATAGCATTCCATCTCCATGAGTTTCCAAGTAATGAATAATATTTGCACTGGAAACTTTCATAATTATTACACATTAACGCTTCAGCCAGCAGAGGTTGTTCACGCCCTGGGAAAGATGCAGTCCTTTGAGGGGCTTGCTTAACAAGCTCCACGGGGGTCGCACTTATTACATCACGAGTCTTCCCACAAGTAATATGGAGAGGAAGGAACAATTTGACGATCAAGTACATAATATTCATATCCTTGGGGACTGTACTACGGAACATAAAATATGACTTATGTGTTAAATTTTTATACCAGGATCCCCTTGCGTACAGACATCTTTGCTGTTCTCCCTGAGTTTTTATTTCTCTGCATGAGCAGGTGCACAGTCATGGGCACGCACACACGCACACACGCACACACACGCACTCTTAAAGATAGCAAAGAAGGAGAGCCAAGAGAGTTGGGGCACTTTTTGCAATACCTGTGGGAAATGCACAGAATAGTGAGAAGACACTTCGTAATTTCTTCCCTGGACTCCACAGGTACGTCTTTGGGGAATGGCTGGTTTTGTCTTGTCAGACTAAAAGCCCTCACGTATATAGAGGCTCCTGAGCACCCATGAGCCCCGTCCTCTCCGTCAAGGGAGAAAAGGTAGATGGGACTCACCACCCTCTGAACTCGCTTCGGGGAGCAGGCGACTTGGCTCCAACCACTCCCCGTCCCTGTGAGTTTTCCTCTGCATTCAAGCCCAATTTGAGAAAAATATCAGAAGTAGCACCCCATTCCCCTTTTGTACAAATCTTTATCTTTACATTGATTAATGGTTCACAGAAGAGCAGGACCGAAGGCTGGCATTAGGTTTAGGAAGAAGGAAAGCCACCTCTGTGAAGACCCCTTTCTTGAAGTGTGCTGGGGTCTCAGAGTGACACCTGATACCCATGCTGTCTCAACATAGCTTCCTTACTCCTCTGAGAGCCCCTCCCCAGTCACGCTGACGGGAAGGGGCTGCTGAAACTCGCTGTCCCTGAGTCATGGTGTGAAACTGAAAGGGCATAAGAGCCATTTAACCCTGTTGCCTCCTTTTACAAATGATGAAGCCGGAGATGATGTGTGACTTGT